ACCTGTAGTCTCAGCTACTTGGGAGGCTGAGCCTGGTAGGCAGAAGTTGCACTCAGCTGAGATGAAGCCACTGCACTCCAGTCTGGGTGACAACAATGAGACAGCATGCCTAGGTGGGGTCAGGAGCCCTGAATTTCTAACCAGCCCCCAGGTGCTGTGGACACTGCTGGTCTGGGAACCACTCTGAGTCAAGGAGATAAACAGTGCTGTTGGGTGCCTCCTGTGCATTTAAAACCAGACCCTGTGTTTCCTGAACATCCTCTCCCTGATCCTCACCAAAGACACCATTATTCTCATTTTGAATACCTGAGGCCCAGCTGAGGGCGGTAACTTGCCCAAGGTCACACAGCTGGGAGCCTGCCAGCGTTCGCGCTGGGCCAGCGCCACCTTGGAAAGGATGCTGTTGGGGAAGCCTTTTACTACTGAAAAGTGTCCTTGCTCCAAAAGCCGCAGGAGGCTTTTTAAGACAGCCAAGTCGGATGTAAATCAGGGGAGAGCCCAGGGCCAGCCAGACTGCTGACAGCGGGGCGGCCTGGGTCATCGTGTCCGGACAAGGCCCACAGCGGGATTTGGAGCTGGCATGCTGCCTGGGAGTGGGCGAGCCGTCAGGGATGCTCTGGGTGCCTGAAAGACCAGCCTGAAGACTGCTGGAGCCTAAAGAGGCACCTTAGCCTCTTACTTCCTCCCCCATTATTTAGATGCATTCTAGGGAAAGACGGCTGGCTGGAAGGAGCAGCAATGGGATTGCATGAACTGGGACCTGCTGCTTCCGTTGTTTAAAGACTGGCTCATCCCTGCAGCCACGCGGGCATTCTCCGTAATCACGGTCTGCTTTGAGGACAGAGAGGGCATGGTTGCCTGCTGGCTGGGGCTTTATTTTCACACTGAGCTCCTATCTTCAGCAACTGGGAAACGTAGAACAGATAGTGAGAGTCCTCAAATGCTGCCCCTGGCCCAGCACTATGGGTATCACCTGGGAGCTGGCAGAATGCAGAACCTCAGGCCCCACCCAAGACCTGCTCAGTTAGACCTCCGGGGTGGGGCCCAGGAATCTGGATTTTCAAGAGCCCTCCAGGCAATTCTGCTTTGTGTTTAACTTAGAGAAGGCCTGATGACCTCTCTGGCTGTGTGCCTGGGGGCAGGGTGGGGCTGGGGGGAAGGGTCAGGCCTAACCCTTGCCTGTGATAACTAGAGTGACAGGGGCTGCGGGAACCTCAGGTGTTCTGTCATCCACATCCTTCCTCTTTTTATGTGGTGGGAGCAGTGTGTCAGCAAGTTCAAGGCAGGGTATAGGTCTGGATTCTTATATTGCAAATGGCAGAAATCAGTTCAAACTGACTATTTTTATTTTATTTTATTTTTTTTAAGATGCATTCTCACTCTGTCCACCAGGCTGGAGTACAGTGGCACGATCTCGGCTCACTGCAACCTCTGCCTCCTGGGTTCAAGCGATTCTCCTGCCTCAGCCCTCCGAGTAGCTGGGACCACAGGGGCGCACCACCACGCCCGGCTAGTCTTTTATAGCTTTGGTAGAGTCGGGGTTTTACCATATTGGCCAGGCTTCTCTCAAACTCCTGACCTCAAGTGATATGTCTGTCTCGGCCTCCCAAAATGCTGGGATTACAGTAAATCTTTATATTTCTACCTTTTGGGGGAAAAAACTAATCATCTACTGTCAAATCTCCCAAATCCACAAAAGTTACCTGAGAACATCTGCAAATGTAATGAAAGCACTAGTTAGAATTATTCTGGAATTTAATTTGTTAGAATGTATGATACTTTACCCTACCACACAATAAAGCAGATACTCTGTTAGCAAGAGATGACAGGTAAGAGAATTTGAAAATTCCCTCTTACTCGGTTTCTGTTGTTGATATGTCTGCATAATTCCTCAAGATCTTTGTTGCTGAACAAATTTCCCTTAATTTCCATTTTCTTTTCTTTTGAAATGGCTGCCAATAACAAGCGGTGTACGACAATATCCGAATATCTTCTTATTGGAGAAGTAAAGTGAGTATATTTATCTAACGCAAGACCTTCAAAAAGAAAGCAAAATATCAACGTAAACAAGAAATTTTTTTTTTTTTTTTTTAA